AGATATTTGAGAATGAGATACAAGAGCCTATATGTGAGAAAAGAATTGCCTAAGGAAGCCTCAATTCCAGTTGGTATAAATAAACGTTTCAAAGAAGCTGGAATGTTACAATTCAAAAGAAACAACAACAACACAGCAATAATTTCTACTGTGATTATTTTCAACCACCAATTTTCTGCACCCTTTAGCCTGGCAGGTATGAACATTTTGTGGCATATCTTTCCTAAGAGAAATATATTATTTTGTCACTTGAGACTGGAATTGAGAGAAATTTCCTTTCCAAGTCAAGGTTTTGAATCAGGGTGCACTGGCGTTTAAGGCTGCAGGATAAAGTTGGCCCTGCACGCTGGAAGAGCACCTACTAGTGGCCGTCACTTTGCACAAGGTGGGCAGGAGCCAGCACACCTCACTCTGCCCAAGGCAAGTTGGTACAGGTAGCCCTAACAACATTTAAGGTGGGTGTGCTGCACGAGGTGGGTGGGCAGGACTGGTGGCCCAGCATTGTGAGAAATGAAATAAATAAAGGGACTTCTGATAAAGAAAATCTTAAATACCTTGCTTTAAACTGTAGTAGAAAAAAATATTGCTTGAAATCAATTAATGCTTATTATGAAACCAGACAGTAGGCTTGCACAAACAAGAATAGGGACTTCTGGTCATGAATCTTATAAATCCAGAGGTGCTTAACTACCTATAAAAATATAGTATCTGAACCTAAATGCTTGAGCAGGCTGGCTTGCTATAAGAGACAGCAGAAGAGTTGACTGTTGGCTGGGGTGGGGTAACCTTTTAGACCACAAGATATGCTATCTCAGCAGACCCTCTGGAGGGAGGGGTTTCCACAGAGAAAGAGCAGAACTCTCAACAGAGGCGTTACGGCACCTCCTCTAGGCGAATGGGATTGGAAGACTGTACGTTTTGGTCACCAGGAAGGGGGCCGAGACAGGGCGTTTGTTATTTTCTATACCTCTCCGGGATAGTATATATATCTGCTGATTAACTCCATTTGGGGTGTTCAGTTCTCTGAGCTGGGCACCCTGCTTGCAAGCTGTATATCCAATAAAATCTTCTGCTTCATCGAAAGAGTCTGTCTCCTAGAATTCCTTACTGGGTAAGCACCAAAACCATATCCTTCCGCATGATCTTCTCCCCTCCCTCCATTTGAGGATGGGGGCGGGTCAGGAGATGAGTCCATTTTCAGTGGTCATTTTGGCCTCCCCATGCACCCCAGTTTACCGTATTACATACCTCACAAACAGAGCAATTCAGATTCTTTCCCACTTTCGTGGAAATGGCATCAGATGTCCATTGTGCTAGCCAAAAGTCAATGGATACCATAACTGTGTGTTTCAGGAGCTGTGAAAGGACCAGCAAAGGCAGTAGGAGGAATCCTGCAGTGCTAAGGTACTTCCCACATGCTTGCCAAGGCATCTTTGCTCTCTGGTGAAGGAGAGAAGACAGGTTGTCTTCTTCATCATCGGTTTCTGGTGTTTCATCTGTAAATTAACAGAAAAAGCTGTAACATTTGTTGTGTAAAAATTCTCAGTTTCCTTTTCCATATCTTTATGCAGGGGTCGTTTCGTAGAAAAAGAGCTAGGGGAACTCATTAGCATCACTCATTAGCATATGCCACACCCCCTGACATCACCGGAAGTGTGTCAGAAGGCAACACACATCGCCCCCAACGGTCCCAGCTGCCGCCACCGGCCTTGCAGCTCCACTGCCGAGCCCCATGAAGGGCCCGGCGGTGGACCTGCAAGGCTGGCGGGAGTGCAAGAAAGCCCTGCGAAGGCCCTCCCTGGCCCCAGGCAGGCAGGGGTGAGGAGAGGTACGGAGGAAGCAACTTACCCTCCCTCTTCTCCTGCCTCCTCCTTGCTGAATGATGGCCGGAAGCGGAGCGGCCGGAAGCAGGGGGTGGGGCTTTGTCATGTGGCCCGCACCCCGTACCTCACCCGGGGGAACTGCGATCCACCACGATCCCCCCCGAAATGACCTCTGTCTTTATGTAGTGCTATTATTGTTTTATCTGTTATATGTAGAAGTTCTCAAGTTTGTGTTAATATTGACTGAATGGACCCTGTCATAAGGAATCCTGGTACCAATCCAAAGAAAATAACTTTTAAGATATCTGCTTGGAAATGTCCCAGTAAATCCAATGGATCCAACGTCTACAGTTTTATGTCCAAAAACGTTTATAATCCACATTTACCAATTTGGTGGCTCAAGAATTCTTATTATAAATTCTGTTCAGATTTTTCTTTTCTAAGCAAAATAGTACAAGACCTGCAGACTAGCCACTCATGATTAATTCACAGTCCCTCATGTTAAAACAGTGTTTAATTATTTAACAGAGGTTCAGAATTTTCTCAGGAAGCTATAATTTATAGATGCACAGAGTAATCCAATCTTTGCAGTCCCAAAGAAAAGTGACCTATGCATAACTTGAATAGTCTTTCACTATGAAATAAATACCTACATGAGCATGCAAGTTCAATTATGGCTTCTAAGGTGCAGATAAAATTAGTTTGGCTGAAACAAAGACTTCCTGTTAAGCTTCTTCTAGAGAGCAAAAGATACCATCAGCTTGCCTATAACTCATCCAGCTACTTCAGTATATAATATTTGCATGCCACCTGTTTTCTAAGGGGTAAACATGATTCACATTCATCTGTCTCATTTTATCCTCAAACCAATGTTGTGTTTTATATTAAGTGGAGTAATATTGCCTTGCTTAAAGTCAATCATTGAACATCATGGCCGAATAGAGACTTAAAACTGGTACCCATACCCGAATCCAACACTTTAGCAACTAATCCATACTGGTTACATACATAAAGATATGCTAGTTGAAACTAGGGTTGCCAAGTGGAAAAATAGACTTATCGGGGGACTCCCGGTCCGCACCTGGAGCGCGCACGCGCCGCACGCACATCACCAGGAAGTGACGTTATGATGCCGGGCACGCTGGGGGCAGGGCCAAGACCATCCGAGGGAAAAACATAGAGTTTTCCCTCAGATGGCCGTGACCCCGCCCCCAACATGCCCGGCATCATAACATAACTTCCTGGTGACGCGCACACCGGGGTGGGGTTCTCCCCAGGGCCTGATCCACCGGCGGCGGGGAACAGGCCTCTGGGGCGGGGGTTTCCCCGCCCCCTGGGGGGACTTGGCAAGCCTAGTTGAAACAGCCCTGAATCGGACAGGCCAGGCTAGCCTGATCTCATCAGATCTCAGAAGCTAAGCAGGGTCGACCCTGATTGGTACTTGGAAGGGAGACCGTCAAGGAAGTCCAGGATTGCTACACAGAGCCAGGCAATGGCAAACCGCCTCTGAATGTCTCTTTCCTTGAAGACTCTATACAGTCACCATAAATCAGCTGTGACTTGATGGCACTTTATACACACGCACAAGTATACAGAGAGTTGGGTTTAATGTCTTCTGGTAATTGTGTCATCGACGCAACGAACATGAAATTGAGCCAACTTCAGAGGACAGCGGAAGACAGGAGGGCCTGGCGGGAGCTGGTCCATGGGGTCGCGAAGAGTCGGACTCGACTGTGCGACTGAACAACAACAACAATTGTGAAAACCAGAAGTACTATTTGTTGTTGTTGTTCAGTCGCACAGTCGAGTCCGACTCTTCGCGACCCCATGGACCAGCTCCCGCCAGGCCCTCCTGTCTTCCGCTGTCCTCTGAAGTTGGCTCAATTTCATGTTCGTTGCATCGATAGCACGGCCTAACCATCTCCTCCTTTGCCGTCCCCTTCTTCTTTTCCCTTCAATCTTTCCCAGCATCAGGGTCTTCTCCCGTGAGTGCTCCCTTCCCATTTGGTGGCCAAAGTATTTGAGAAGTACTATACATCAACTAATTTGTTTGGGTTACTTATCTAGCTGGCATGCACTTTGCAGTATATGGATAAAAAAATTAAATCATGGAAGGGAAGTCATTTTGCACCCAAACTAGGATGAATTTCGTTTAGATCTTTTACCCAAATATTTTAAAATTGTTCTCCGAGTGACAAAAAAGAATTGCTTGAAATTCAATGGTCAGGCTGGGTTTATTCTTGGGAACTGCTAAAAGCTGAAGGTTTAGCTGAAGGGAGAGATCCTTGGGTTTAAGCCCGGTATAATACTTGTACTAATTTTTGTACTAATTTTTGTACTAATTTTTGTACTAATTTAACTAGAAATTAGGAGCTGCGGTGACGCTAGTGGTTAAGACCCTGAACCGCAGGCTGTGGAAGGTCGGTAGTTCAGCAGTTCGAGACCCGGGGTGCCCCATGACGGAGTGAGCTCCCTTCTCTAGCTCCAGCTCCTGCCAACCTAGCAGTTCGAAAGCAAGAAATTGCAAGAAGATAAATAGGTACTGCTTCGGTGGGAAGGTAACAGCGTTCCGTGAGCCTTGGTGTTTAGTCATGCCGGCTACATGACCACGGAAACGTCTTCGGACAGCGCTGGCTCTTCGGCTTTGAAACGGAGATGAGCACCGCAACCCTAGAGTCGGATTCGACTGGCTTTCGAGCAAGGGAACCTTTACCTTTTTAACTAGAAATTATTTTTCCCTGCTTAGCTCTCAGGATCTGATGACATCAGGCCAGCCTGGTCTGTCTAGGTCAGAGTGATACTAGGTCCAGCTAAGTTTTCCCTAATTACACTGTTTCAATAGAAATGCCCCCAAAATTCTTCTATTCGGTTACTAAATAATTCATAGGGATGCTGGAAAACATGTCCTTAAGCCAAACTAACTTCAGGCTGCATTCGCATATATATACATATATAAATATATTTCTTTCAGACAATAAAATAGAAAACCCTGATGTACTTCTGTCTCTAAAGCAAAATAGATGTGAGCCTGAATGGTGGCTGGATAGAAGAACCACCATAGAACTCTATACAGGGGTCATTTCCTGCAGGAGCGCACAGGAGTGGAGCTCCGGCAGTAAAGAGCCCAGGGGGCGGGCACATGCAACAAGCCCCACCCCCTGCTCCCAGCAGCCCTCAGTCAGAGCGAGAAGCAGCCAGGTAAGCTGCAGAGGCCCCCTCGGCCCCCGGTCCAAAACAGTCCAGTGGCACCTTTAAGACCAGGTTTTATTCAGGTACAAGCTCTCCCTCCTCTGCAAGGACAGATCTGCATGTCCGTCCGCCCCCCCATAGCTAGCAATCCAAAACAGTCCAGTGAGCTCCTGCACCTCTTTTTCTACTAAATGACCCCTGACTCTATACACTTCATTCTGAGCTCTCCACCAGAAGGACATGATAGAAATGAAGCCAACATTCTGCAAACAAAACATGCATGCTATCAGAAAAACAAACCAGACACACAATTTAAAGGCCAGCCAAAACAAGAATAACTTTGTAATCATGCTCCATTGCTGTTATGCCATACTTTTTGTTCTAAGAGTGTTAAAATGTTGGTGTTCTGAAACTCTCAATTTATTCAGAATAGCCCTTTTTGTAAGTATCAGTTCACCTTCATCTTCATCATCATCTTTGAGCAGTGTTTCTCGAGAATGCGCTGTCCTTTGGAGAGTCTTCATATCTAATACTGTTTTTCGTTCAGTTATGGTTTCCTAAAAGCAAGGAAAATAAATGGCTGATTAAAAAAAAACTCTGCTCCTGGATCAATTTGTTATTACAGATGAACAGTGCAATTTGAAGACGTAAGAGTAAACCTCATTTAATAGACCTGACTAGGATTGCTTTCTAAGTGACCTAACTGCATTTAATGGTCATGAATTATTAGTGTGCTAGATAAACATATACATGACTCTTAAGATATAAGATCCATCACTGGAGACTGGTACAAAAATAATGTTAGCATAGCCACCCCTGAGGGTTAAGGGATCAGTAGCAGTATATGGGTTTGTATTATTTATGTCTAAAGGGATAATCAGACATAAAACCTAACTATCATTTAAAAAGCTGGGGAATTCTCACATGGAGGAGAATAGGCTGAGAATACACATCTTACTTGGTATTATGGCCATCCCCAATCCTTAGCCGCCCTCAGCCCGTTCGCGGGGAGGGCCGGGTATAAATGTAATAAAATAAATAAATAAATAATAAAATTGAGTTAATAGCAGGGTTATCATTTTGTGTATATTGGCCCTTAAATGATTAGATTTGCAATACCTAAACATAAATGCCATTGATTTTTTTTATTATTAAGACCAACTGGAAACATTTACAACTAATGACTGGCTGATTAAAGGCCAGACAGGCAAGATTCTGGTCCATCTTTTAATTTGTGTCATTTATTGACATGGTATCAAAATCGATTATACCGAGGGTATTCCACTTACACTACCCAATGTAAATGTGTTTTTCCTTGTGTTCATGCAACTTTGAAAACGTCCCACCGTTGTTTCATTCCCCCCCATTTTGGAATAAACTCTTATTATGAATTATTTACTTTCATCTGGTTGTATCAACAACTCTGTTCAACTGATGGCGTAAAGAACTTTCCATTGATGTAGAGAGCCCCTTCTACAGAAAGCTTCACCATCTGCTAGGTGGAGTTGCTGAATGAAACCAATAATTTTTGTGCAAAAACATTTCTTTTTGGAAAGTAGATTTAAATTCTACATGGCTGGATAAAATATTTTTTCTTACTATATTAATTAAATAGTACTTCTTCGTATTTCTAAACTGAAATTGACATATTATATAAGGGATCACTATTTTAAGGTGCTAGGAAAGAAGAACAAAACAGGCCTTCTCCAGTTCTTGGTCCTGTCGATTCATTAGTGTTTTCCAATGTTCAAAGAGTTCAGATTCTGATTTCTGAATATCCTTGAGCGTGCCTTCTCTTTGAATGGTACCATCCTTCATTGCAATAATCTGGAATATTTTAAATTATAAAATCATCAAAAAAGTCTGTTCTTTTATTTAAATAGTTCAGTTCCATCCAGTTCTTATATGTGTGTTGGTAATGACCGAAGGTCATTTTTATTTTAACAGCACTTTCAAATGAGCTAGGAAGGTAAAACTTGGTAAATATATACTATATAGGTAGTAACATGTTCCAGCTAAATGGGTTACACAGAAATGTGGTAGACAACTGAAAGAATACAATTCACCCTCTTTGTAAGTAATTTATTCCCATGGCTTGGTGGTAAATGGAAAAAATTAACAATATACACACTTGGCAACAAAAGCATAAATCTAATACTTTGCTGTCAAGGCAGTTTTTGGATAAGTTATTGTATAAGGTGTGCTGATTATAAAAAGTAATCAAGAAAAACCTGTACCTATGTAATTCATCTTAAAAATCTATAGCTTGCTATCCACAGGTGGCTACTATCAATTAGCTATGAAAGTAAACTTTCAAACTGCTTTATAGGATTTAATGTATTCAAAATATTTGTATACTACTTTGTTGCTCAAAAAAAGTCCTACTTGCTTACTGAATTTTTTGCGGGAAGCTAAAAGCAACCTCTGTGATCAAGTAAAAACAAACAATGCTAGGTTGTGGTCACACACACTAAATAATCCACTTTCAATCCATTTTCAGTGCATTTTTCAACTGGATTTTACTGTGTGAACTGGCAAAATCCAGTTGGAAAGTGCATTGAAAGTGGATTATTTAGTGTGTGTGATGGCAGCCCTAAAATATTATTTTCCTTTTCTAATAGCTGAGCAGAAAACTGAGAGTTTATGTGTCAGACTAAACTGAATCATTAGTTGCATCAATTGTTATTTATATTTGATGGTGACATTAAGGTTGCCCACTCTGCATTGGGAAATTGAGAAATTTATAAGGTGGCGCCTGGCAAAGGCAGCATTTGGGGAGGAAAAGAGTCTTCCCTCCACGTGCCATATAGTCTACTCTCCGAAATGTCAAGCCCTGGATGCAATCACTCTCACAAACACTCTTGTAGCAGCAAGATTTGTTTATTAAGAGGTAGAGAGGTTCCAAGCATAGACAGCTTCTGTGTTGGAACTGGGTCCCAAACGCCAGTTCCACCAATATACTGAGAGTAAGAAATTCCACATATGCCAAGTGACCAATCATTGCTCCTATTTGGTCCGCTAACCGTCTGCCCCTGTCCGTGCAACTGCCCCTAACACCTGCAAGCAAACGGTTACATTATCTAGAAGCTCCCCAGACTACAAAGTCACACAGAATGATGAGATCATATATATCCCAAGGTGTTCTCAACACACTCGGGAGGCCCCTGCAAGAGAACTGCTACAAGTTGGCACTAACCAAGCAAAGCAGATGGCCATACACATCCACCCCCCCTCCCCAGTTCCCAGTGGAGATGATAAACAGCAATGAAGAAGAGCAAGGTTGCGTGCTGCATAGGAACTGTATAAGAATACATGTGAATCCATAACACAACCAATGGAATATTGAAATGTGGGACAATAACCCCTAGTGCAACAGAACATGAGTGTAAGGAACAGGAAATATTTAGCAAGCGAGGCCCGAGCTTGACACAAAGCTGCTATTTCCTTCAAGGTAACTGTGCTCTGGAGATCAACTATAATCTTGGGAGGATTCCAGGCTCCCGCCTGGAAGAAACTTGCCTATTTTGTTCTTTAAACCTGGGTATATTCTTTTACTTAGGCTTAATGAGTAAAGCATGAAACATGCTGAGACTACACTAGTGCCTGTGATGTGGTTACCAAAACATACGGCAGTACAAAGTCACAAAAATAAATGTGACACGATGTTAAAGACAGCACTGCGGGCAGATAGGATTGATATCGCCTTAGTCTTATTGATTTCAATGCAACTTCAGCATTTCAATGCAACTTTCCTCCTGGTGAAATCAGTATGATTTAAAATAAGTTATATTTTATTGAATCGTGTGGACACACAGATACTCATAAAGCATGATGTGAACATTAACAAGCTGCCTCTCTGTTTCTTTACTAAAATAAAAGCAGGTAAATTACCCAGTCAGCATGTGGCAGATACTGTAGCTTGTGGGTGACCAAAACAATAGTCTTCTTGTCGTTTCTTAGCATGTTCAGGATTCCTTCTTGCATGAGATGGTCACTCAGGTGGATATCCAATGCAGAAAATGGGTCATCCTAATCAAAGGGAAAGTAGTTGTCCAATACATATATTTGTTTTGAGATTATATTTTTTGCATAATTTAATGGAAACATACCATTTTCAGGATATCATAGGCAGCAGTAAGTCATCAAGAAATGAAACATTTGCTATTAAGAATTATTTTCCTTATTTACCCTTATTAGCATTGATCTATTTATAAAGGAAAAAGAAGGGGCTGTGGTTCAGTGGTAGAGTATTTGCTTTGCATTCTGAAGGTCCCCAGTTCAATCCCTGACATCTCCATTTGAAAGAACCTGGTAGTAGATGTTGTGAAAGACCTCTGCCTGAGGTCCTGGAGAACCACTGCTACTTTGAGTAGATGTTGGCAACTTTGATAAATGAATGGGTTAAGTATGAGATAGCTTCATGTGTTCATGCATTTTTTTTAAAAAAATACACATATTTAAATACAATCTACCACCATATTCTGCTATGATATACTTATATTAAATGCTACAGAAGAAATTCTACATATTTACTTGGATCTTGTCCTAAAATTCACCTGGGATGTGATTAACCGACCTTTCTCCCTCCATGGCTTAAAATCACCTTGAGGCCAGATTTGATATGATTGCTCATTATAGAAAACTGAGGTGAAGAGAGAAGAAGAAGAGAAGAAGAAGAGATTGGATTCATACCCTGACCTTCACTACCCAAAGGTGTCTCAGAGTAGCTTACAAACTCCTTTCCCTTCCCCTCCCCACAACAGACACCCTGTGAAGTCGGTGGGGCTGAGAGAGCTCTTGACAGAAACTGCTCTTTTTCAAGAACAGCTCTTATCAGAACTACGGCTTGCCCAAGGTCATCCAGCCAGGTACAAGTGGAGGAGTGGGGAATCAAACCCGGTTCTCCCAGATTACAGTCTGCGCACTTAACCACTACACCACTGCTGGCTTTCAAGAGTTGGTGTTATACCCTGTCCCTCACTACCTGAAGGAGAAGAAGAGTTGGTTTTATACCCTGTCCTTCACTACCCGAAGGAGTCTCAGAGTGGCTTACAACCCCTTTCCTCTCCCCACAACGGACACCCTGTCTGACAGCTCCCCATTGTATGGACTTAGAGCGAATGCTGAGGCAACTTGGTAGTGGGAAAAGCACAGAGAGGGCACTTAGCACAACTGGCTGCGCACCTGGTGAGAGCAAAGTCCTCCCTCCACAACTGATCCCTTCCAGCTCTGAACCCTAACAGATACCCCATCTCCAGAGGTAGGACATAAAGGGGTGCCTGCACACTAACAGGTAAGCAGGGGCCTGTTTCCCTCACCTCCTTCCTGCTTCCCTTCATCCATGGCATGTTGCCACTCTGGAAACGCCACCTCCCACACCCAAGCCCACCAGTGGGGACAATAGGAGCCAGGGACCCCTGCAACCATGGCCCCTGTACACAAGGGGGTTTGGTGCATGGGCTCTGGCCCGGGAGAGCTGTCAGGAGAAGGGGCTTGAGCTCTCCGCTGTGCACTGGACTGACAACTCAGTTTTTTGCCAAGGTCCCCCTTGGACAGAGTGGCCCAGGGCTCTTTTTGTAGCAGGTACTCACTTGCATATTAAGCGACACACCCCTAATGTAGCCAATCCTCCAAGAGCTTACAGTAGCTCCTGTAAGAAGAGCTCTGTAAGCTCTTGGAGGATTGGCTACATTAGGGGTGTGTGGCCTAATATGCAAAGGAGTTCCTGCTACAAAAAGAGCCCGTAAAGTGGGTAACCACACAGTTCTTGTACTCGTTCCCTTGCAGAAGCAGACACCTGTGGAGCAGCTGCCATGGTAGACCCATCTTTTACTATTGGTTTGGACATGTACGCCAGACAGGTGAGGGCATTTTGGATGGTGCCAGCCTTTGGAGTGGCTGATTGCAGCAGAGGTCATGCCCATGGGCCCTGGAATGGACTCCCTGTTGACCCCCGGCAAACCTCTATGCACCCGCCAAGGCACTCTTGGCCCTTGTTGCAGATGGATGTGTCGCTGTTTTAGCAGTGCCCTGGCTCAGACTACTTTCCCCCCAGCCCCATTGTGTCCTGGCTGCAGACCAAGCCTGCCTTTGAAAGCCAACAACTGTATACAGCCTGCTGACCCTTTTAGCCCCCTTCCCCATTTGGACTGTGCCTCAGGAGTGGAACATCCATTTCCCATGAGGTTACACAAAGGTGGATTCTGGTTCTCTTGGCCCTTCCCCCCCCCCCAAAGCTCGCCAACAAAGTGTCTTCAGTTGCCACAGCTGTGTGTGTGTGTGTTGTTTGAAGGTGGGTGAGGAGCAGGGGTCATTTGGTAGAAAAAGAGGTGCAGGAGCTCATTAGCATAACGTATTTGCATATGCCACACCCCCTGACATCACTGGAAGTGTGTCAGAAGGCAACACCAACCGCTCAGGCTCCACTGGACTGTTTCGGATTGCTAGCTATTGGGGGGGGGGGAACGTGCAGATCTGTCCTTGCAGAGGAGGGAGAGCTTGTACCTGAGTAAAAAAATTGCTTTCTGCTTTCTATATCCACATGCCTTCTCTAGTGATGTCTTTTGATAACATGCTGTGTCTTGTTTCCTGTTGCAAGCCAAGTGGTGAAGGCCGTATGGCCTCAATAGCCATGCCATAAACCCACATTCTTTCACACTTTCATGCCAAACGTCAGACCTCATGGCACCACTTTCTGGCCCACATGCGACTAGTCACGTAGACCATGAAGTAGCTGGAGTTTGGGGTCACCTGACTGCAGGCAGGGCCTACAAACTCCTCGCCTATTCCCACACGCAGCTATGGCAACCATCAATTGGCCACACACCCCTGTCCACTCGTGATTGGCTGATGGCCACAGCTGATTGCGATTAGATTGGGCTAGAATTCCATTGATCACTATGGGAGTGGGTCTCTCTTAGTTCTCTCCCTTCCTCCTCTTGTCAGAGTTTGTTTTATTGCACCTGAAAATGCTGCCTCTTGAGAGATGAAGTTGCTTTGTGACTTGAAGCACATGGCTTGTACAAGATGGGATTTTTACTCAAAATCCCTTGGTGCTACCTGGATTATCACCATGGATAATCTTGAACTCTTGGATGCTAACCTGACGTGGTAACTACGAATCATTAATGTTTAGTTAAGGCAAATTGCCCTAGCCTTTGTTATTTTTGTAATCTCTGGTAGTCTATGCTAAGCTCTGTACTAAATAAAGATCCCTCTGATTGTTAAAATTGTCTTTGGTGTTGTACCTGAATTCCAAGGCTAAATCCTGTGGCCTAAATGCTCACCATATACGCTACCATTGGAGAGTAAAAGTGTGCATCTCTGGAGTGAGTTGCTAAGGTATTCTGTCCCAGATCCTAACTAAGGGTTTGGGAATCTCTCCCTTAGGAAAGGCAGGGACTAGTGAAAAGAAGTTCTGGTGGCAAATTGTTCTGGAAACCAGAGAGGGTATAGACCAGAATAATTGTGGCAGAATAATTTAATCAATAATTTAATCATCTTTCTTTTGGAAATGATACCGTTCTGTGGTGACTTGGAGGGCTTCTTTCACCACCTGCATTTGACAGAGTACTTTCATCAAGCCTCAGAAGAGAACGTGGATGAACAGCATCTTCACAACATAGCAATTCACAATCTACTGCTGAACAGCTGGCATCTGTCCCACCCACTATCAGACAACACATTGACCACCTATCGCCACCCACCCAATGCTACAGGAAAAAGGACTCTACATGGCTTAACTAGCTAAAAGTGAACAAACAGAAACTAAACCCTGAAAAGAAAGAGGTAATGCTGGTTGGAAAGGAGGAAGTACTGAAGGATATTGTTCTCCCCACTTCTGATGAGAGTGTAACTGACCCTTGCAGACTCAGTTAAAAGCCTTGTGGTCATACTGGATCAAGCTTTATTACTGAAGCAGCAAGTGGATGCAGCTGCAAAAAAATGCTTTCAATCAGCTCAGCCTAGTGCATAAGATGGTCCCTTACCTTGGTATGGCTGACGTGGCCACCTGGATCCATGCCACGGTTACTTCAAGACTAGACAACTGTAATTCACTATATATTGGTCTCCCCTCAGAATCAACTCGGAAACTCCAACTAGTTCAGAATGCCAAGGCTCAGCTATTAGCGGGAGCTAGACAGAGCATGCATATTACTCCCTTTCTGCAGATGCTCCATGGACTGCCCAATTTTACTGAACTCCCTTTATTGGCTACTACAGACAAAGCCCTTTATGTCTTCGGCCCCTCTTATTTGCACAATCACCTCTCTCCCTATGTTCTGCCATGGCAACTTTGTTCAAGTGAGCAGGGGCTTCTGCAGGTGCCAACCTGCAAATAGGCAAAATTGGCAACTACCCATACACGTGCTTTCTCTGCTGAGCCTCCTGCCTTGTGGAATGGCTTGTCTGAGGAGGTCAGGAAAGCGCCCACTCTCCTTGCTTTCCACAAACTATACAGAACTGAGCTATTTAAGAGGGCTTTTCTGCACAGGTAATAAGGCTGCACAGTACAAAATGGTTTCACAAACTTGTATGGATAAATGATTAGAGACTATGGTCTATACCGCTGTGTAGAGTTTATTGTAAATAGGATCCTGTTTATGTTATTTCTGTACCACTTAATGTGTCATGTGAATACTTATGCCGTGTTAATTTTCTTTTTCCTGGAAGGAACAGACCTAAAATCCTAATGCACTGGTTACTGAGTGTCCCATTGTGTCGATTTTCTGGCTCACTGTGTGTAATCCATCTTGAGTCCCTGTGAGAAAGTCAGACTATAAATAAAGTAAAACAAAATAAAATACATGTACCCTCTGAGGGCTGCACTGCCACACTAGTGTCAATTTCACACTATGTGCTGCGCAGTGGCATTTTGCCCCACAGCTTCGCCCGATTTCCTCTGCGTCTATTCAATCCTGTTCTTTGAGGATTGAGTAGATGCAGGGAAAATCGGGTGAAGCTGCAGGGCAAAATGCCACTGCGCAGCACATAGTGTGAAATTGACACGTACGCTCGGGGCAAAGGGAAGAGGCAGCGTGGAGCAGCAGCTTGTGGGAAATCAGTCTAGATCTCTACATAGAATGCTTTTGCTGCTGAGCCCAAACTGACATAGCCCTTGGTAGCCTCCAGTGTTCCCTCTAAGCTGAGTTAGTGTGAGCTAGTTCACAGTCTTTTTAGCCTCCGGCTCACACATTTTTGTCCTCGCTCAGGAAGGATGGGGCTCCAGAGCAAACTGATTTATGCAGCAGCCCAATCGCTCGCTCACAACTTTAATGCCGGCAGCTGACAAAGTAGAATTTTTGCTCACAAGACTCCACAGCTTAGAGGGAGCCTTGGTAGCCTCCCATCCAAATGCCAACCAGGACTGACCCTGCTTAGCTTCCAAGATCTGATGAGACCGGGCTAGCCTGGAGTATCCAGGTCAGGGCATCACAAGCTTACCCATGGCAAAAGAAATGCAATTAACAGCTTCAAAGCTTCAAAGCAATCCAGACCATTATTTAAAAAGCTGACAAAGGAGGAGCAGTTGTTGTCATGAACAAATCAGACTACTTTAGGACCCCACGGGACCAGTCTCCCTTTCTACAATGACTATCCTCAGAACCCACTCAGAAATGCCAAAAACAGCTAAACGGTATTATGAAAAAATTACCAACACACATATAGGAGCAGATCTATATGTAGACACCACAAGAGCCTCAAACAGGCATTTTCTGTCTTTGGCCCCAAATACACAAGCTCAGCAGCCCAGGATGTCAGTGGTTAAGTGTGCAGTGGTTAAGTGCGCGGACTCTAATCTGGGAGAATGCGGTTTGATTCCCCACTCCTCCACTTGCACCTGCTGATGTGACCTTGGGTCAGTCACAAGCTCTGGCACAGCTGTCCTTGAAAAAGAGCAGTTTGTGTCAGAGTTCTCTCAGCCCCACCCACCGCACAGGGTGTCTGTTGTGGGGAGGGGAAGGGAAAGGAGTTTGTAAGCTACTCTGAGACTCCAAGTGAAGGGCGGCGTATAAATCCAATCTCCTCCTCTTCTTCTTCTTGTGTGTGTATTCATTCCTCCTCCTCTTCTTCTTCTTCTTCTTCTATTGTCGCAGGCACATGCAAGGTCATTGTATGGGTATATGGTTACATGGACTCTTCTTAGACCCTACAAGAGGGAACCTGCAACAAAATGTTGCTGGAGCCCGAGCCCTCTCCGGCATGGTTGATGCGGGTGGGGGAAGCTGGAGGCTGGCTTTGGTCACTCCTCCCGTGTGAAACGGAGATGAGCACCACAACCCTAGAGTCGGATTCAACTGGCTTTCGAGCAAGGGAACCTTTACCTTTACCTTTTACCTCTGTGTAGCAATCCTGGAATTCCTCGGTAGTCTGCCATCCAAGTACTAACCAAGGCTGACCCTGTTTAGCTTCTGAGATTTGTCAAGATCAGGCTAGCCTAGACAATCAGGTCTGGACAGGGTGTGGACTTACATGTGGTCAACTTACCAGAAACACAACATTTGTCTGTTGGTAAAGGGCTCTTGCCACACTGATCCTCTGGCGCTGACCTCCAGAAAGATTAATGCCCTGAAATGCCAAAGCAATTCAGTTGTAGAAACATAAGTAATTCTGAAACGTTACAGATCAAATCCTGCTGTAATAGGAAAGACTTCAAAGACTATTTGGAGAAATATTGGGAGGTGAAGAACAACTTATTGAGCTTTGACAACTATTGATAGAAAGGTGTTTAGAACTTGTATAAGTGTATAAGGATAATAGTGTTACCTAATAAGTTTAAGTAATAGAGGAAAGGTGAAGGGAAATGGAAAACAAAAAATATGGGAGGGAGGTTGGAGCACTGCGGGAAGCCAGAAAAGGGGGGGGGATAGGGATAGAAACGATCCTGCTGTAATAAACACTATTTAGTCCAATTTGGAAGGAAAACCATAAAATAGAAATCTGACAAAAAAGTGTGGTGATCTTCCACTGAACCCCCCCCCCAATAACTAATGAAACAATACTGAAAGAAAACCACATGAAACAACCCAGTAACAAAACAGTCTCTTTTGGAATTGACAACAAAAATGAATGAAGTCAAACCAACAACCATAGACTGTGGTGCGGCTGTGTGCCCGGCTTCCCTCTGCCCCTTGTGCTGCCCCCCCCAAGAGCAAGGGGAGGTGTCTTGTGACCTGGGGGTGGCTGGGCCCAGGATAAGGATTAAATTTAATTTAATTAGCGGTCCCCCCCCCCCGATGTCCTGGAGCTCTGCCAGAAAAAAATCTGGCTATGGGGCTGATCTACATTGGGGCTGATCTACATTGATGTCTGGTCACCAGATGACTTGACCATGCATAATTCCCACTTCCCACTCCAGCACTGATATCTAGAGTATAGACACTGATACCCAGAGCAGGGTTGGCCAAACTTGCTTAATGTACGAGCCACACAGAATAAACATTAGATATTTGCGAGCCGCAAGACATGAACAAATATTACACACATGTTTTTATTGAAAAATATGCAAATTTGAAACCACCAAAAATAAAAGCAAAAGGGGTAAAAACAGGTATTGATAATGATATTTATTTGTTTGCCAATGGTATTTATTTGTCTAAGAGAGAGAGAGAAAGAGAGAGGTGGAAAAAAGAACGAAAGAGGTGGAAAGAAAGAGAGGAGAGAAAAAACAAAGCAAACAGATGAGGGAAGCAAAATAATATTGCTTCAATATCTTTAAACGGGAAGTTCTAGATAAATAAAAATTCTTATACTTATTCAATACATGTACACCTATATAAAGAATAAGTCAATATCAAGAATATCGACTGTAGTTAGAAAAGTTGTTAGTTAAAACTGCAATAATGTTTACTAAGTGTAAAGCTTTCAGACTAATGATCTGCATGTGTATTTGCTTTGAAATTGCTTTTGTTAAGTAGTTTAGGAACACCACATGATGCATTAACGTCTTGTAAATAGTCACTAACCCTTTCTCCAATCTGGGTTTGGTCTCCATGAGGAAGAATGTCAATATCAGGCTGAAGAGAGCAAGCATCAATTACTGCTTCGTACCTGTGGAAACAGAAGTAGTAATTCCCAATTCACATGGAGACTGCTTCATAAGCACATTTTCTCTTGCTTTTAAGAGCAACAGTTAATCAACTGGACAAGTCACATGCTGGAAAATGTATGTTTGCTAAGCACTAATTGTTCTAATGGGAAATTTCTTGTTCCCAACGAACAAATACTTTTAAAGTTAATTATGCACTATTGAGGGCGTTCAGAGGTTAAAAATAGATGCCTTTCCTGGTTCTGTTGCTGGGTTTTATCCTGAAATACTGAGAAAGCTCATTTGCATCTATGAGATATCAACCTTTAAGATGGCCAAGGTCCAAGAGATCTAGGCTTGCCAGTCCCCAGGTTGGGGCGGGGGTTCCCATGGTTTTCTGGGCTTCTCCCCACTGCCAAACAGCCACAGCTCCCATGACTCCCCTGACATGATGTCACCCGGAAGTGATGTCATCACACTGGGGACATCACATGGGGATGATCTGGTTTAAAGGCAAAACTCTATGGTTTTAAGCTGGTTTTATCATAGAGTTTTGCCCTTAAACCAGAGCACCCCCACGTGACATCCCTGGCATGATGATGTCACTTCCAGATGACGTCATCGTGTTGGAGGCATCCCTGAACCCCCCCCCCAAATCCCCCCACCAGAGTGACGAGGGGACCTGGCAACCCTGGATCTGTATAGCAGTATTCACAAGTTTAGCATTGTTAGCATTTTATAGGATCAAGCTAGACTGCTCAGCCATAGAGATTTGAATATATATATATATATATATATATGTATGTATGTATGTATGTATGTATCTGCAGTGGCTCAAGTGGTTAAGACACTGAACTGCAGACTGGAAGGTCAGTAGTTCAGCAGTTAGAGACCTGAGTGTCGCATGACAGATCCCCCCCAGTCGCCACGCAGGTCCTCCTCGGCACGATCAGATGCCAGGAGAAAGGCATGGACCGGAGAGCGAGGCCAGCCCACTGTGCATGCGTGTGCATGTGCAGTTTGGCAGGACCTCACATGCTGCGGGACAGACAGGAGTGCCGACGATCACACGTCCACCCCTGCAGCGGATTTTTCGGTAAGTACTAGTGTTTCATAGGGGTCTTTTTGATCCACATCAACGGCCAGAAGAGACGGATTTCCCAGATGTTGCGATGTAATCGCGCCCGCTTGATGCACCCCTGATCCATCCCTCTCGCGTGGCAAATCCTCCCGTGTGATGGGGGCCAAAGAGAACTTTTTCTCCCTCTCAAAAAATGGAAGAACTTGGGGGCATCCAATGAAGTTGATGGGCAGTAGATTCAGGACAGAGAAAAGGAAATATTTCTTTACACAAGTGATTAAAATGTGGCCTTCACTGCCAGAGGACATAGTGATAGCCACAGGCACAGAAAGCTTCAAAAGGGGAGGATAGGTCTATCAGCGTCTACTAGCCATGGTGACTAAAGGGAACCTCCACATTTGGAGGCAGTAAAACTCTGAATACCAGTGCCAGGAAACAACAGCAGGAGAAGGCCTCCTCTGCCTCTATGCCCTGTGGTTGGCCCTCCATAGTAACTGGTTGGCCACTGTGTGAGACAGGATACTGGACTAGATGGACTACTGGTCTGATCTAGCAGAGTTCTTCTTCTTATGAAGACATCAGCACCTCCTCTTTGCCACAGAGGCAAGCAGGGGAGGAGGACCAGGAGCTACTGCCTTTCTGGCTGCTTCAGCCAGGTAGGCCATGGGCAGATGGGGGAGTTGGAGCCACCACAAGAGCTGGGCAGGAGGAGATGTCAGTGGCGCTGCGGCTGAGCTGGATGGCTGGTGTGTGATATATCTACCATGTGTGATATATCAATTATGGAATATTTTTCCCCCAGTGGCTTCCATGTCAGAGCCATAATTCTCAAATTGGCACTTAGTGAAGAAGATTTATCATGCTGACATCTAGCTCAAGACTACTAGGAATAAAGGGATGCCTGGTCAACATTATTCAGTACTTCGAGAAATTATTCAACTCAAAGACATTTGCCTCTGGCATAATCACTCAGCTGTTGCAACATGTATTTATAAAAGCCTGGTGTCCATATGCAATGTGCATTTCAAGGCTGATGACAGAGTGCATTTAAGTGCGTTTACAAGGCAATTGAATATATTACCTTTGTTTATTGAAGGGGCTCTCAAAAGTGATATTCTCTTCCACAGTAGCATTTAGTAACCATGGTTTCTGGGAAGCATATGCCACAGGTCCTCTTTTCCTGAAGAGAAAAAGGCTCTAATTTGTCATTACTTAAGTAGACATTGGAAACAATTGTTCACTTTGTTGTTGTTCAGTTGCACAGTTGAGTCCGACTCTTCGCAACCCCATGGACAAGATCACGCCAGGCCCTCCTGTCTTCCGCCGTCCTCTGAAGTTTGCTCAATTTCATGTTCGTTGCATCGATGACACTGTCTAACCATCTCATCCTTTGCCGTCCCCGTCTTCTTTGACCTTCAATCTTTCCCAGCATCAGGGTCTTCTCCAGTGAGTGCTCCCTTCTCATTTGGTGGCCAAAGTATTTGAGCTTCAGTTTCATTATCTGGCCTAATGCCAAAAAATGCATTGGCATTATGTCCCTTTTGATGTGACTTTCATATAAGCTATATTCGAGTTGCTGTATAGTACCTTCATTTTCTGTTTTAAATATTAGTAACATTGGAAAGGAGACAGCATCTGACATCCTTTCAGCAATGACTGTTGTATATAGATCTAGATTAATGTTGTATCACCATATTGCTATGGATACCAAAGATGGCATGACTAAAGGGGTTTAACTGATAGGGATGATTCAATAAAATTAGATATTTACGTTGTTTTATTCTGCAGACATCTCATTGGTTACCGATCAGTAACTGGGTTCAATTCAGGATTTCAGCTATCATTTACAAAGCTCTTAACGTCCTTGAACGCTCAGATCTGCAGGACCATCTCTCATGCTTAAGGCTTCACTTCTGCTTCCTCCAAGGTAGAAGAAGAAGAAGAAGAGATTGGATTTATACCCCGCCCTTCACTACCCAAAGGTGTCTCAGAGCGGCTTACAAACTCCTTTCCCTTCCCCTCCCCACAACAGACACCCTGTGAGATAGGTGGGGCTGAGAGAACTCTTGACAGTAACTGCTCTTTTTCAAGAACAGCTGTGCCAGAGTTATGGCTTGCCCAAGGTCATCCAGCCAGGTGCAAGTGAAGGAGTGGGGAATCAAACCCGGATCTCCCAGATTAGAGTCCGCGCACTTAACCACTACACCAGACTGGCTCACAGAACAACCTTCTCCATCAATAAAGCATTAACCACTCTCATGACCCGCCTATGAAATTCCCTCTTGCTTGCTGCAATAAGCCAGGATTGGCAAGGGTCAACCATATATGTGGGGAGATGCGCCCCCTCAAGCAAGCTGTTCACATCCTCAGGCTGTACCTACTGAAATTCATCCATAAAACCCTGATGAAGGTAATACCTAATAAGATTTATTTATTGCCTGCACAGTACTGTTCAGAAAACAACCAAAATAAGTCTTTGATTGTCATAAAGGCAATCAGAGAACACTTCATTTATAGAAACTTCTGAAAGTTTTTTTCAGCTAACTTTCAAAATGCACTACCTGTTTTCCGTGTCAATAGCAGTTTCCTTTTCTTGGCTGCAGAAAAGTTACATGATAAAATATCAGTGGTTAGTACAATTTGAGCAGGTAGTTTATGAATGCTTGAATTCTAAAGCTCAGATGAGTAAGTATATAACATTTTACAGATAATGTATAAGTGGTCTATGCTACTGTGTACAGTTTGCTATAAGTTGATCCTAATATGAAGGGCTCTTTTTGTAGCAGGAACTCCCTTGCATATTAGGCGACACACCCCTAATGTAGCCAGTCCTCCAAGAGCTTACAGAGCTCTTCTTACAGGGGATACTGTCAGCTCTTGGCGGATTGGCTACATTAGGGGTGTGTCTACTGTCAGCTCTTGGAGGATTGGCTACATTAGGGGTGTGTCGCCTAATATGCAAGGGAGTTCCTGCTACAAAAAGAGCCCTGCAATGTTGCATCATTTAATATATTATGTTAACATTTATGCTTTGCTTCAGTTCTGTTTCTAAGATTTCTGGTTGGTTCTACAACCCAAATCCTGTTTTATTGCTTACTGAATATCCCACTCTGATAGCATTGACTCACTCTGTGTAATCCACCTTGAGTCCCAGTAAGAAAGGTGGATGGACTATAAATAACATAAATAAATAACTAAACCAAATAAAGGTGATATCATGCATATTACATCAAAGCCAGAGATAAACCTTCCGTATATTATAATCAGATAGTTCAAAAGAGACTGGACCAAGCAGAAAGCACTACAGTTATTAAAAGTGCTATTACTAATTTATGCACTCCCCATTTGGTTTTATATTTCCATCCTGTTAGACCAATGTCTCGGTAGCTGCAGTTATCAAGAGAAGTAAGCTTTGTGTTTGAGGTAGGATTTTTTTCTTCTTTTTAGAAAGCAGATCTTCTCCATGCCATGGTGTATTGTATAGCACACTGGAAACCACCTTCAACACTTCCTGAGGGAGCTGCTCTCCAAGAAAAGATGAAAAACTACATGTATACACAGATCTGACCACAACATTAATCCATCATGGCCTCAGTATTCTCCAGTTGATTCTTCAAGCCAACATTTACACAGTCACACAACCCTAGAAAGATCACTCTACAAGTAACCTCCTTTGGCATGCTTCACATATGACTTCTTCAGTACATATTTTTGTTATCTTTGTTGTAAGCAGGGGTCATTTCCTGCAGGAGCGCACAGGAGCGGAGCTCCGGCAATAAAGAGCCCAGGGGGCGGGCACATGCAACAAGCCCCACCACCTGCTCCCAGCAGCCCTCAGTCAGAGCAAGAAGCTGCCAGGTAAGTTGCAGAGTTCCCCCCCATAGCAATCCAAAACAGTCCAGTGGCACCTTTAAGACCAAGTTTTATTCAGGTACAAGCTCTCCCTCCTCTGCGAGGGCAGATCTGCACGTCCCCGTCCCCCCCAATAGCTAGCAATCCAAAACTGTCCAGTGGAGCCTGAGCGGTGTGTGTTGCCTTCTGACACACTTCCCGTGACGTCAGGGGGTGTGGCGTATGCAAATATGTCATGCTAATGAGTTATGCTAATGAGCTCCTGCACTTCTTTTTCTACGAAATGACCCCTGGTTGTAAGCAAAATATCTATCTACATCATGGGGAACAAATCCATATCTACTGCCGTGTGTAATATCTTACAAATGCCTTGTTCGTTTGGGTTGCCACTCATTGGCAACCTGCAATTAAATGTGGCTTCCTAACACATCCACACTTGAGAGATGAAAGACTCTCACAGAACTGATCTCCCCCTTGTTTCTTCCTAGCGAAAAAAAAAGTCTCTCTCTCTCTGTGTGTCTGTGTTTGTGTGTGTGAGAGAATAATCATATTATACCATACCTTACATCTTCCCCTGTCTCGCTGTCAGGAATACTGCTGCATCACCAGTAAAAATTGGGAAAAGATTGTACATAAAAGTAAGTATGAGCAATTTGCCCCCCTTCCCAGATTAATAATTATATCTATTATATATGCTGATTGCAAAACAGTTTTCACAAAACTGCTTCAGTGTTCCTTCTGCAGAACAGCCATAATTAATACTGAATTTTGTTATCAGCATTCTCTAGTTACGATCTTATTTAACTCCAAAAATACACTTTATTGAGTTTTTGGTTATGTGAGCTCCACCAGGGTCAGATATCAAATTGTGGAGTTGGGTAATTTCTGGTGGTTTTGAAGCACTGGGACAGGAAACAGCAAATGCAAATCTTGTCCTCATTAGACGTGTTTTAAATATGGTGCTTGGTATATTTTTTTAAAAAACCCTATTTGCATGGGATTCCACATAGCTGGCATCCTTTTCAATTCAAGTTCCTATGTTATATTTTCCTGGCTCTCTCCCCAGGTCTGGTCAACAAACAAGTTCTGTGCTAAGTTTCTGGTGTGGGGGAGCCCAATTCAAATCAATGCATGTAGACAGGACCATTAAATCTTGCTCCCACAGAACTTCCCCCAGATTGAAACAGTTCTGGGAAGCCCAGTTTGCTCACTGAAAGTATATTGATGGACGGGGCTCTTTTTGTAGCAGGAACTCCTTTGCATATTAGGCAACACACCCCTAATGTAGCCAATCCTCCAAGAGCTTACAGAGGCTCTTCTTACAGGGGCTACTGTAAACTCTTGGAGGATTGGCTACATTAGGGGTGTGTCGCCTAATATGCAAAGGAGTTCCTGCTACATACCACAGGTAACTTTTCCCAACAGGACCAACTGTGGCTCCTTGGGGTTGTGTACTGACTTGCAGGCTTTGAGTATCAGGTTGCAGTAGTTGGTTGGTTTGCCCAAAGTTAACATGGCTAGAGGAAGTTTCCAAAGTCCAGAGTCATTCAGTCCAAAGGTCAGGGTTGCAGAAATCAGTCAAGGCAGTGTCTTTCAGTTGGGGGTCAAGCTTCCAGGAATTAATCATGGCAGTGTTGGTGGTTCAGCATCTAACTTACATGTTGCATCCACACTCAACAGCCTTTCTCGAGAGACTTCATAGCTGTACACCTAAGTGTTATGCCTACAGCCCACTACTCAGGAACAGTCCTGCAATAACTCATCTGTATTTTCAGCAAGCAGTTGGTGTTGAGTCAGCACTATCAGCAACACTTCGCTGTGTTCTCAGTGTCCTTCTGTGGTGTTCTAAAGCTGTAGGTGATCCTGGAGGGCTGGACGAGTTTCACCTGCTGAATCAGGGCAAGGGGGGGGGTGGCTCTGCATCAGCTGTTGGCTGTGAGTCCTGGCATGCTTGCAGCTCATTTTGTTGCTAGTCAGCTTTTGTCAATCCCGGGATGGCTACGCAAGGCCCTTCCTCTTCTGAGGCGTCTTCACTATCGCTGAGCCATGGCTGAGCCATGACGGGTTGTTTCAGGTTGGGAAATTGGCATGGGATGGGAGGCTTAAGGGTACATCATGGTCATAATATACACGGAATTCAAGCATCACACTCCCACACTTTGTCAACCATACCCAGGGATGGACCCAGGAAAAGCACAGCATGTAGTTATGCCTTGAGTACAATGTTGGCATTCGAGTATAGCATACATCCAGATAATGGATTTCGGGCTTGAAAATGCTACATGTCCTTTTTTACTGCTTGGTGCCACATTTAATCTGGGCCTTAGCTTGTCAATGCAAGGAAATTGGTAAGGGGACCCATTTTCGTTCAGTACACAAGGCTGAAAATCTCATTTATTTCTGAATAATCCATTTCTAAGAAAGAAATGTTCTACGAGTGTCTGGATAATCTTGATTTTTCTATTAGGCAGTAATTCCTTTGATATACCGTCCCCTGGACAAATAGTATACCCATACAAGTATGAACAACGGTTAGTTTTATAATGCTATGTAAACACTCTCAACCTTGCATAGAGTACTAGCTATTCAAAATGTGATAGATATTTTGATGCATTACAACATAAGGAACCAGTATTTTATTGCATCAATTTAGGCTGCAGGTCACACAGACTAAATACTCCACTTTCGATCCACTTACCGTGGACTTTCCAATTGGATTTTTACTGTGTGAACTGACAAAACCCAGTTGCAAAGTGGATTGAAAACGGAATGAAAATGGATTATTTAGCATGTGTGACCGCAGCCTTAGAATAACCACTTATTCAGTTTGTGCTAAATAATAAAGTCTTGGCCCTGACCTGGCTAGCCCAGGCTAGCCCAATCTCATCAGATCTTGGAAGCTAAGCAGGGTTGTCCCTGGTTAGTACTTGAATGAGAGACCACCAAGGAAGTCCATGATTGGTACACGGAAGCAGGCAATGGGAAACCACCTTTGTCCACCTTTTGCCTCGAAAACCCTATGGGGTCACCCTAAATTGGCTGCAACTGGACAGCACTTTTGACTGATGCAGCTCTGTGTATATAAAGATCTACAGGAAATATATAATTTGAAACTCTTTACGAAAAACTAACACCCAGGCCAATCAACAGTTCTGCTGAGTTGGACTAAGCAGTGTTGGTGTGGTGGAAGTCAAAGACAGTTAGGACCAGTGTTCCCTCTAAGCTGAGTTAGTGTGAGCTAGCTCACAGTTTTCTAGCCTCCAGCTCACACATTTTTGCCTTCGCTCAGGAAGGAGGGCTCCAGAGTAGCCTAATTTATGCAGTAGCCAAATCGCTCGCTCACAACTTTGATGCCAGTCGATCACAAAGTAGAATCTTTGCTCACAAGACTCCACAGCTTAGAAGGAACATTGGTTAGGACCATGCATGTTTTCCTGTACAGGAAATCCTTATAATGTCATCTCCCTCTCCCTCCCCCCCATACTGTTTCTTAACATATTAATTCAGAGCAGATTACTAAGATATAGAAAAAGCTATACCCCATTTGAACAGGTGTGAAAATCTATCACAGATGCATAAAATTTCTCAGCTAAAAGAATGATAGGTCTGCTATTATCTTCTAATAAAAGAGGTAACGTCTCCATATGATCTATATTCTGGAGTGAAGGAAGAATTCAAAGATTTTTAGGCTCAGAAAAGTAGTTACATTCAAAGGTCATGCACCACAATCACATACTGTACCAGAAGCTCTCCATGTGGAAGGGTACCAGCAAACTGAGTAGAACAAACACGTCGTGCTCTATACATCATACTGTTATAATCATACTTAAATAGACTTTTCTTAAACATTCTTATTGCTTCCTGTCTGGTAACTGAATAAAGAGAGCCCAAGGAAATATTGAGGAGCTGTAGCTGTTGCTTGACTTGTTTATCCCACAGCATCCTCTCTGACTAAGCTGGGGAAGCCCTCTTGTATGTCAGAGTATTTCATTCTAACTTTAAGGGGGAAAGCCTCCAACCAAGTCCGAGCTTCAAGAGATGGTTGTCCCAATTCAGCTCGAAAGGCTACCCCTGCTAGACAATTTGGAATTCTGCAGATGGAATGTAGACATTTAAGAAGAATTGAATGCAAGGACTCCCCTATTTTGTCAATCCAGATACCAGCCCCATATAAACTCTGGGTGGCCATCTTGTTGTTAAACAGTTCGATACGGTCACCTATGTAAACATATTGGCTGAGTTCAGACTGGCAGTTTGGCCCGATAGAGGCACGTTTCACAAATGGATTAAAGGGGCCAGTTCACACAGCCACAGCTGTCAGGCGATCCCCAGCCGTACTCAACCCGTCCTATGACGATTCCCTACTGCGTTAGAAAAGTACCAGGTGAAAACAGTAGCAAAACCCTGGAGGGCGTGTTGATCCCGCTTCCCGGAAGTGTGCATGCTAAAAGCTGCAAACAAGCCGCATTGCTGCGCCTATGCGCATAGGCGTGTGTCGCCGGAGTGAAAAACAGCCACTTACAGCCGTGCCTCCGCCAGGGGCGGGCCGACAGTGCGAATGCTCCCTTGCGCCTCCTCCCCGGTATGCTCCCGCATCAGTAGGTGCAGTGTGACCGGGAATATCCGGCACAACTTGGTCCGGGTCTTTTTGCCCCGCCTCCCTCGTGCTTCATACTGTCAGTCTGTCCTCAGCCATCTATTTCACTCCATATACCAGTGGGCTTGGATCTAAAACCACTTGGGTATATTGTAGTACTTCTACTTGTGCATAGGGCATGTGTGTTTTCCTCCCCTGGGTGTGGCATTCCACATCACATTGCATACTACTTTGGAGGCTCTCCCAACATTATGAAGCAGTTTTTTGGGGGTGGGGGAGGCAGATCAGCAACACATTATGCAAGAGCTGAAGTGCTTTTTCTACATGGATTTAAATATTCCAACATAATGACAATGAAAAATAGGCAACACTTTCTTATTAATACAATAGCAACTTCATACTTGGGCTACTTCACTGTTGCAGAAAACATAAACAGGAGTCCTCCTGAGGCACTCTGAAAACTAAATTTTATTTTAGCATAAGCTTTTATGAGTCAGATTCAAGACACCTGTTTATATTCATACTTTTGACAGACGTAAGGCAGGGACTAAATAAATAGTAATTTCTTTGCTTACGATCATGTTGACCCTGCTTAAGACCATATGAATGTAGTAAACAGAATCCCCACTCAACAACTCTGGGGAATTTCACATTACCCAGTTTCACCCGGTTTCAAGCTGGCAATCATCTGTTTTGAAGTGAACCGGTACAGGGCTGCCATTTCACACAGGGCTTGCCCCTACCGGAAATGAGCCGGCTCAGAAGCGGTTTGGCATTTCAGACTTGCACCGCTTTGTTTTCCCGCCATTTTCCTCCCGCGCGGGTGATCGATTTTTAAAAAAACGTTCGATTTATAGCGCTATAGCAGTATAACAAAACACTCCATGCATTCCAATGGGATTGATATTATGCTATTCTGTTATAGCGCTATAGCGCTATAAAGCAAACGTTAAAAAAAAAGCCGGAGATCGCCTGCGTGGGCGAAAAACAGCGGGGAAAAAGCGTATCGGAACCGAGAGAGGGAACTGAAGACTACTTGGAAGTGGTTGACAGGTAAAACGCTTCAGTCCTGATTCCTAAACGGGACAGAAGCGTTTGTGTATGAAATGGCAAATATATTCTGGAAGAGAACCGGTTCTCAAACGGGTTCTGGGTTCTGTCTGAAATGACAGAACAGAACCCATTTGAGACCCGGTTCCCTTCCAGAATCTATCGCCTGTCTGAAATTCCCCTCTGTTTGCGTTGCATTTCATAATAGTTTCTGGATAAAGCACTGTCCTGTGTCTTGGCTGAAATCGTCAGGCTTTATTTCCAAACAAGCATGCCTAGGGCAACTAGAATGATAAAAGGGTTGGAACACTTTCCCTATGATGAAAGGTTAAAGCGCTTGGGGCTCTTTAGCTTGGAGAAATGACGGCTGAGGGGTGACATGATCGAGGTTTATAAGATCATGCATGGGATAGAGCAGGTCGAGAAAGAAGTACTTTTCTCCCTTTCTCACAATACAAGAACTCGTGGGCACTCCATGAAATTGCTGAGTGGTCAGGTTAGAACAGATAAAAGGAAGTACTTCTTCACCCAAAGAGTAATTAACACATGGAATTCACTGCCACAGGAGGTGGCGGTGGCTACAAGCATGGACAGCTTCAAGAGGGAACTGGATCAACATATGGAGTAGAGGTCCATTAGTGGCTATTAGCCACAAGGTATAGATAGGAACTCTCAGGCTGGGGCAAGTGATGCACTGTATTCTTGATGCTTGGGGGGGGGGGCAACAGTGAGAGGGCTTCTAGTGTCCTGGCCCCACTGGTGTACCTCCTGAGTCCTTATGGCACCTGGTATTTTTGGCCACTGTGTGACAGAGTGTCGGACTAGATGGGCCATTGGCCTGATCCAACATTGGCTTCTCTTATGTTCTTATGTTCTATCGTTAAGTGCAGGCAATAGCTGTGCTTGTGGCAGCTAACCAATGAAAGCAGATATTTTATAACATGCATAACCAATATAACTGTGGTTTATCAACAAAACTGATTTAATCCTGCAACATTTGTCTACCACAGTAATTTAATTTACATACATTATTCTTCAGGTAAACCTGAACTTCTTTTAAGATTATATAGAAATGATAAATACAATTACCTGTTCCAGATTACGCTCCCAGATACCTTCTGCATCTCCCCAAGTACCCCCAGCAGGAGGGAAGACTTACCACAGCCCACCTGCCCCACGATCATTGTTAATTGACCTGCAATAGCAAAAAGAATGTTGTTTTATATTCTGCTACAGAAATTGAGCCCATACTATCATGTATGGTGGACATGCAAAGAGATTACCAAATTTTGGAAAGAGGTGCACAGGATGCTATGTCAAACAGTTAAAAAACAAATTCCGTTAAGTCCAGAAGTATTTTTACTGAACCTATACCCAGATAAATGGAAAAAGAGTGATAAATATTTAACTTTGCATATATCAACAGCTGCGCGAATGCTACTTGCAAAAAATTGGAAAAATGAATCAGTACCAACTAAGATGGAACTGATTAGCAAAATAATAGATATTGCGGAAATGGATAATTTGACTCAAAAAGTGAATGGGAGTATGAACAGCTTTTTTTAAACAGTTTGGATGCCTGTATATAAATGGTTAGATGCGGAGAATATTTAACCAGAAGGTTTGTGATGTCTTACAAGGGTGTGGTAAGCGGAGGGTGGTGGGGTTTGATGGGTGTTGTATTGTTGTTTTATTGTTATATGTTGTCTTCTGTTATATGTTGGAAAAATAAAAATTTATTAAAAAAAAAAAATTCTGCTACAGAAATTGTCCCTAGTTTGTGCTCAGTGAAGAAATAACCTCATAAAGGAACCTGGGAGGACAGATGGGAATGTTAATTCCTACCTCCACTTAAAATAAATGGGAGGAGCTATCCACACGAAGGCACGTCTGTTCCACCGTGAAGAGCCTATTTCTGTACATGCATTCTCCTTGCAGGATCAGGGCTCTTTGTTTACAAGTGTTTATTATAACGTCTGGTTTAATACCTTGTGGGATTTGTATGTCTATGTTGGCCAATGCTGGAGGTCCTTCGGGGGTCCAGGTGAAAAATCCATTTATGACCTATGGCAAGAAAGCCAATAAACTGATAAATAATCCATGTTGTTGCAGAACTTCACATATTCTCCTTTTAAAATTTACAAGTGGGGACTGGCAAGGGCTTATGGTTGAGGCGTCCCATTTTCCCTTGTATCCCCTCCCTATTTCTTCTTTTTGCCACTCCTGGCAGCCCCCAAACCCTCTCCCCTTTCCCTCTTTCCTTCCCGCCCACCAGCCAATTTACCTTTATCTGCCCTTCATCTTCAGCTTCATTATTCATTTATATTCATTTATTTATTTTCATTTACACCCCCACCTTTATCCCCAATGGGATCCCAAAGCAGCTTACATCATTCTCCTCTTTTCCATTTAATCCTCACAACGTTCCATTTTATCCTCACAAACAATCTTGTGAGGTAGGTTAGGTTGGGAGTGTGACTCAACCAAGGTCACCCAGTGAGCTAAAATGATGGTAACAGTTCTGCCACACTAACTGGCTCTAACACTACCTGTTTGCTATATACACGCCTGGTCTGCCGTATTTTTTCCCCTTTAGGTGCCATCTCTCTATGCCATCTCTGCATTTTTGTTGTTTTTCATGATGGCCAAAGGCAACCTCTGTGTCCAAAATGTAACCCTGCCTGCCTCCTTTGAACTGCAAAGTGCCCCTACATAATGTGATTGCCTATGAATTGGGACCCTTTTTCCTATTTGCATGAAATTTGGTAGGAATGATCTCTAGCATAAGGAACAGAAGTCACATGTCCCATTGAACTCACCAGGCTTACTTTCAAATAAATATGCTTAAATTGCAAAACAATATATTCACTAAATATAAAGTACAGAATTAACCGGTCCTATATTAGTCCAACAACTAAATTCCTATTTTGATAAAGCTTCCTCCAGAAGCAGCTGGAAGAAGGAACTCCAGCTGTTACTGGGAACACTTCTTTGGGTATTTAATGTGCCTTCATTGTTCATCTCTAATGAATAAAAGACATGATCAAAATAGCACAAGATGATTAAAAGTTGGAGGTTAGTGATTTAGAGCCACACAGTTGCAGGAATAGATGGCAATTCTAGTTGTCCTTCTGGTTCAGTCGCCTCCATCCAACACAGCTGTGCGGTAGTGCCCCAGTGATGTGTTTTGTGGATCATGCAACAATGCTGTTGCTGGGGATGCTGGCATAGCCGTGGCCCTTGTGGTTCTGCTGGGATTTGCCAGGTGCCTGGCCTCCGTGGCTTCCCTTTAGGTGACTGGACAAGGGGTGCCTTTGTTGTGATTACAGCCAGCTGCTTCTGCCTCAGTGGTCCTCAGGCTTGCGCTGTCTGAAAACTAGGCTAAGAGTCTGTGCTTCCTTTAGCACTATCTTCTCAGAAAGGCCCATGTCACAATATGATAACCACGTTACTCAGTAGATTATTTCTTTTTATAAGATATAGTAAAATTCAACAATATTTGAAAGCATAACTACTCCCTGGCCACCATTTTCTCTCGAGACAAAAATGGAAATTTTTCAGTGAGAAAATCTTTTTAAAGCACTTTCTCTGGAATTGGGGGCATAGAATTCTAATCTTCAGTAACACCATTATTAGAGTGACTTTATTATCACCTTTACACAATAATCATCTGCTTCTGTGTTGCTAACAGGTCTTCTTGTAGGAGAGCTGTAACTCTTCCAGTCCTCTTTGGTGGGCCGCTTACGATTAACAACTTTGAGGGGCTATGCAGGATCAGGAAGACAGAAATACATAGTGAGTGGTGACAGGAGTGGGAAAGGGTATTCTGCAAAAAGCAATAATGTTATAAATGGACAATGGTGTTGACATTTTTTTTTTGCCAGTGCAGATATTAATTACAAGGGAATTGACAAAGTTATTGGAGTGACTCACAGGGACTGAACAATGGGAGGAAGATAGATTGACCATGTTGGCATGCAATATAAGCACTTACAACAGCCTGGTATTTGCTGATGCTGTCCTTGCATTTTGGTTCTAAACATCTGTCATATTCTTCTCCTATTTCTTCGCTTGACAGAAATTCACTTAACTTCTGAACACTGTGAAGAGAGCAGAATTGTAGTCAACGATATAAATTGCGTTCAGTGGCAGTTTAAAGAACAGCATTCATTGCAAGAAACCCACAAGAGAGATTCTGTTGGTCAGACTGCAGGCGGCTTATAGATTTCATTCTGTGCGTGGTATGGAGCCAATAAAGCATTTAATACTGCATATTTCTACAATTCACACCAGCTACATCTTGAGTGGGTGAGACTTGTTTGAGCTCTATCCTCAAAAGAATGATTTTTATTTTCCCTCCTTGCTGTAGGCCCCATGCCCACAAGAAATATTGGTCACGTTCAGCACTGGCTTTGGGGCAGGGGAGCATATGAATCTGTTGGGTAAATGGGAAACAGTAAAAATTGTTATTGTAAGCTCACTACATTTGCAGAAGCCTTGGATCCAGCCTTATTTACAGAATATGCAACTTATTTGGTTAACATCTAAACAATATATTTCTCTTTTAGGTAATCCTTTTAAAATTGCTAGCAGTCTTATAAAAAGTTCTAGCAATCTTGATTTATATGTCCTATAGGCTATCAAACTGGCGGAACCACAGTGCACTCCATTAAGGAAAAGAAATGCCTATACAGAAAAATGTCAAGGTTACTATTAGCTACGTATTATTATTATTTTTTCATTTTTACAATGTAACAGTATACAACTATCTTGAAAATCCAAAATTACAAACCAACCAGTTAGTCATCAATACAGATTTTTACAACATACATCAACAGTCATAACAAACTAAGTTAGTACTAAATCTGATCACCTATATGGAGCCGCTAGCTGAAGTTCTCAGGAAGAACAAGAACTTATCTGGAGTTATAATTGGGAAACGGGAACACAAAGTTAGCTTATATGCGGATGATTTAACATTATATGTCTCAGACCCAGTGAATTCTTTGTCAGCGATTTTAGATTCTCTATCAAAGTTTGGGGTGGTCTCTGGCCTCAAACTAAACTCTTTAAAATCAGAGTTATATCCAATCTCATTAAGGGCACCTGTTCGACAAATACTGAAATCAAATTTTCCTTTCTGCTGGACAAAACACTTCTGGAGACATCTGGGGGCTCAAATCCCCCTGGACCTGAACAACTTAATGTCCTGCAATTTTGATCATTTATATCGGGACACTCAACTTAGCTACGTATTATAAAACTACATATGCATTTGAAAATCCCATATAGCCGAAATATTTGTATCTCATAATACTTTCACTGACACTGGCTTTATCCAATGAAAACTGAGAGTAGAAGAGAACTTGCAGTATGAGATCTTTGTTGCTCTCCATTCCATCGGTCGATGCCATCATGCCCTTCCAAATGATCTTGCTGGGGTTTAGGGGAACCCTGGGAACATAGCTGGGCACCATGTGTTGATTTGCAGCAGGTGAGGAAACTGACAGAAATTGGCACTGCATGGGGTGTTGGGGGAGGGGTAATTTTTCATCTTTGCAATGTTTTACTTATATAAGGCCCCGTTCACGCGGAGGATTTGCCATGCTAAAGGCACAAATGGTAGGCGGATTTTCGGTGCGCGATCACACTGCAACATCTGGGAAGTGTAGCGCACCCGTAGCCAACCCGTGGCATCCCACCGAAGATGCGCAGTAAAAAAATACCTCAGAAAGTGCAGTAGTATCCGGAAAACGCACGGCAGGGGCGGGCGTCTGATCGTGGGGGCACTAGTATCCTGTGGCTTCTGGCGCCCGTCCGAGTCCCGTCGCAAACCAGATGGTTTCCCTAAGCGCATGTGCATGAACACTAAACTGGAAGCAGTGCTGCTCCGCGGAGCTGCGCATGTGCACAAACACGGAACGCTTGCCGCGCGGCTTCTTTGCCAGCTCCAGCATCGCCCTGTGATCGCGAGCTTCCTGCCACAGCACGAATACTCAGGAGACTGTGTGATTGAGCTAACGCGCTTTATTTTGCCCCGGGGCAAACAGCCACACCTCACCCCCGCGTTATCTGGCCTGTGTGACCGGGGCCGTAATTACCTAGATCTGTTATTTGTCTCAAGAGGGAAGGTATATGGGTATGTATACAGCAGCTTTGAAAAAGGACAGAATTTACATTTAGAAAATGGCATAGGGTAAAAGAGTCATCTCCCTCCATCATCATGGTCCCAACCCAATTTGTCACCCTCTGCAGCTACTATTTATAGAACATTTCTTCTGGTTCCGCTCCATAGTTGTAAGAGAAAACTAAAAGCTTATCTCCCAGGAGCTTTTATTTTTATCCTTCAAAAGGCTCACATTGATTAAGTCCAGGGTAACTATCTGCAGGGTGCTTACTTGAATGGTTTCGTATTAATCTTAAAATAAAACATGATACATTTGCTAATGAATTTGTCTGGCTATGGTCTGTGTGGTTGACCTTGGAATTTATTTTCAGCACTTTGAGAACTCTGGCCTACCTGTTTGGCCTCCTTTTGCTTTTATGTCAGTGATATTATTCAGGTTATAGCCACTTCTTAGACAGATTGGGATAATTGAAAGGAATATGATAAAACAACCTTACTGAAACTAGCAAGGTACGGGTCTGATCAGTGTCTGAAAATGGACCAGCAGGGAACCATATGTATACTGTCTTGAGTTCCATTTCGGAAGAAAGGGAAATAAATAAATGTGAACTTTCATAAAGTGGAAGTCCTGCTCCAAATTCAGTACTGCCTCCCTACTCTATGGTATTCATTGTTCACATTAGTCTATCTCAATCTGAGCAACATCGTGAAAAGGGATTCTATTACAAAAACCATTTTCAGCAGGGCTTTTTTTGTAGAAGAAGCCCAGCAGGAACTCATTAGCATAACAGGCCACACCCAACAGCAGAAACTCATTAGCACATCAGGCCACACCCCTGACGGAACAGCTCATTAGCATATTAGGTCACACCCCACGCCTTTCCTTGGCTTGCCTGGGCGCCCCATGGCTGCGGGGAGCCCGGGCAAACTCCCCCCTTGAAGGGAAGGGAAGGCAGTTTAAACTGCTTTCCCTTGGCTTGCCTGGGCACCCCGCAACTGCGGGGAGCCCGGGCAAGCTGGGGAAGACATGAGGAGGTATTTAAATGCCTCCCCGATCCTTCCAGGGGCCCCCCCTGGCCCGCCCACATTAGAGTCGCTGGGGGGTCACTCTCCAGGCCTTCCCTCTGTAGCCACGCAAGCGCAGAGGTTTTGGTTGTAGGCATGGCCGTGGCCAACTCGGAAGCCAGCCGGAACTCCGTTCCTGTGCGTTCCCGCCCAAAAATAGCCCTAATTTTCAGTTTTATTAAGAAGTTTGTTTTTCCAGACCCTCTTAGTTTGTGCTCATGATTTATATGATTGCACTGGCTGAATCAACTGTGGGGTTTCTATGAGAGAAGGGCAGAGCTTTGAACAGGCACTTTTGCTATGGCTACAAGAATGTGCTGTCCATTTCCAGAGCCAAGTTCTACCCTGGACTTTATCCACAAAGATCGCAACCACGCACAGGAAAATTTAATAGAAAATTATACCCATAAGTGCCTGTGTTAGCTTGGACATACATTCTTGAGTGCTTCCCTATAATCAATTTAAAACTCACGTTATAATGAACAGAAAAAAGGATCTTTCCTTTCAACTCACTTACTAGCAGCTTTGATATTACAGTGCTGCTAATTAAAAATTCTCTTGTAGATAAGAAATTGAGATTGCTGCAAAAAAGATGAATCCAGAGCCTCAAAATTGTTTTCTTAGATGGAATATGAATTTATTTGATAGTTTGAGTTTAATTAATTTTTTTTTGCAGCATCAGTTTTGCCAGCTGCAAAAGCCAAGATTTTCATTTAAATTTATATATATAAAATATTTAGGTTCTGGCTAATAATAGTACGTCTCTGGCTGAAAAATGGGTAGAAGAAGAAGAAGAGATTGGATTTATACCTCGCCCTTCACTACCCAAAGGTGTTTCAGAGCGGCTTACAAACTCCTTTCCCTCCCCCTCCCCACAACAGACACCCCATGAGGTAGGTGGGGCTGAGAGAACTGTTCTTATTGATACCCAAATAAGACAGTGAAATTGTATATCATAAGCAAACAGTATGAGAATAGTGCATCAGCTCATGGTATTCATACAAATATTTCCCATTTTAAAAGCAGTTTAAGACACGTGTATGAAAACAGGGCCCAATCTGTGACTTTTAGACTGGATATTTCTGATCTGAAACTAAACGGAATTTGGGGCACTATTTTGGATCAGAAATATCTGAGTGTGCACTTCTAGCATCGAACAAATGACCTTGCACATCGCATACTGATAGTTTTGATAGTTTGGGGGCAATACTATACAAATTTACTCAGAAATAAGTTTCATTGTGTTAAGTAATGTTTACTCCAAAGTAAACGTACACAAGACTCCATCTTGCAGAAAGCACAAGAATATAATAGAGCTATGAAGAATATGAAGTGCGAGATACCACATATTTTAGTATTCACTCTTCCAGAAGGTATGTACTTACAGTCTGACATAAGAGGATGCTGATGAAACTGACCCAGATTAACAGTTACAACAATGAGATATCGTCAGCACTAGTCCTATGATTTATTAATAAGAGGGAAATTACATTACAATACTATTGACCAGAACCTTGTTGGACTCAGTCTGCTTTTGGTAAAATCTGAATCTTGAATTAATGTGTGTAAATGTGCCTAGTTAGACTTTTAGTTTTTTTTATTTTTATCCTTACTGTCCACTGCTCTTTTATTGGCTATGTCTGCACAATTTTAAAATAAATAATTTTACTTATATCTTTCTAGAGTTCTTGAATTCCAGGGGCTTCAATCTGAATCCATTACTTTAGCCCTCACTGGTACAGCTACCAGAGTAATTGTTTTGTGAGCCTTGTAAGCGTCCTACCTTGCAAGGGTGACTTTCTTTATTTTTAGTTGCAGGAGGACCTGAGACTTTGTCCCTTGGTCTCTGGCTGTCTGGATAGTGGAAAGGGAGTGATGGCTGCTCTGCCCTAGGGTGTGAGGACTCACACTTCAGCCTTTTTTCTTTTGTCTTGCTTGACCTCCCCCCTTCCGTGGGATCCTGGGTTGGGGGCCCTTGACACTCTGGTCTATCGTAGAGCACATGTAAAGATAGTGTAGACATTCTGCAGATGAAGCTCCAACACTGTACACAGAATTGTTGTAAAACTATACCATGGCCCAGAATACTAAGGAGGGTATGGCAAACTTAAAAGAAACCACCCTTTCCCAAAAAGAAATGGGAACACATAACTTTTGTCCTAGGGTTTGGTGGATTTCCAGTCACCTCCAAGCACATAGTGCAGTACAACTCCTTGCACAAGCTGGCACCTTCATGGTCCCTGTCAATTGCAGCTGCCAGTGGGTACAGGGAGATTCAATGTATGATAGCCGTTATTCAAATAGTAGTACAAGGGCAGAGATGTCAATCTCTATGGTCATAATAATGTCTATACCATCTCTTGCCCTCATGGTCCTCACCTGGGGGGATTGTCAGTGGGTACAGGGAGATTCAATGACCCCTGGCTGTTATTCAAATAGTAGTACAAGGGCAGAGATGTCAATCTCTATGGTCATAATAATGTCTATACCATCTCTTGACTACTGTATCAATGAGCTGCACATATAAGGCTGTTGACTTCTGATTCACCGAAGAAACCTTACCTCACGAGAGCTTTGACGGTGGATCTAACCACACTGGAGAGCAAGAACAGAGGCGTAACGAGGATGTGGAAGAGGGAAAGTGAAGCAAAGGCCACCGAAGGAGAAAAGTCAGCATTCTCGAACAGGTGGGCATGGACCACAAATGTCTTGTGGGGGGGGGGAAGCAAAAGAACTTATTTCAGCTCATCCTCATTTTTAAAAGAGCAAATGCAGTTAACACATTTTCTCCTTATTATCATCATTATCATCATCATTAACAACAACAACAATTTACAAAATTTATACCCTGCCTTTGTGCCCTTATCAGGGCCACCAAGGCAGCTAAGAAATTAAAACCATACATAATAAAACACAAAAGCTTTAATGAAGTTAAGTACTGAAAAGCTCCTTGAGCAACCAACTGAATATGCAACAATTATATGAGTTTTTTCACATTGCTAAATAAGGAGAAAACATATAGTGAATTGATAGCAAGGATAATCTTCTGCAATTTGGGGTAGTATAGAAGAATTTCTGAACAGGGGATGGGGGAGTATATCAAAAGGCATTTGCCACAATGCTGCAAAGACTAGGAGTGTGTAGTCAGATCTACCCAGCTGAAAATATACCCCCCAAAATTGGTATTTTGGGGAATATTTCAAAATCCCAAAGGTATCCAGGGTTGTTTTTTTTTTTGAAAACCAAAATAATTCCCTGAAGAAATCTTGAATATATTCGGGAATTATCAGGTATATCCAAAAAACAGCAGAGAGGCTGGAGCAGATTATTTCTGCCTCTTAACTGTTTGTCAGGCTTCTACTGCAGTCCCTTTAAAGTTTAGTCCATGTTGGCTCAGCTTCGGGTTAGCTTTTTCTCTCTCGGGTCTTTTGGACCAAAAATTTTTTTTGGGATTTGTGAAAAAATCCGGATCCGAATATTGTACTAATATTGGGATCCAAGATTTTTCGGGAATCCCAAAATTTTGTGGGGTCAAATAGACCCGAACAAAAAAATACTAGTTAAAAAAAAATTGTACACCCCTAGCAAAGACTGTCTGCAGAAACAAATTACCCATCATAGATCCCCTTGCTGGGTAAAGTCCTGCATGCTCCAAAAGTGATGTGCAGGGTTGTTTACTTAAATGTGCTAGATGAATCACAATTCCTAGTCTTAAGTGTCATGTAGAAGAAGAAGAAGAAGAGATTGGATTTATACCCCGCCCTTCACTTGGAGTCTCAGAGCGGCTTACAAACTCCTTTCCCTTCCCCTCCCCACAACAGACACCCTGTGAGGTGGGTGGGGCTGAGAGAACTCTGACACAAACTGCTCTTTTTCAAGGACAGCTGTGCCAGAGCTTGTGACTGACCCAAGGTCACATCAGCAGGTGCAAGTGAAGGAGTGGGGAATCAAACCCGGTTCTCCCAGATTAGAGTCCGCGCACTTAACCACTACACCAAATGTAGAAAGGAATCAATCACATGTAAGCAATGTAATTACAAAGGACCTTGTTACATGGAGATGACTTTCTAGATTTTTTAAAACAATATATAGTGATTGGCCTTGGTTTTCCTCATACTGTCAGTTTATATAACAAGGCATTAGAATTCTATTCTTAAATGTGCAAATAGATTATACCAAAAAGGGACTGTGGAACCTGGCTCATTTGTCTTGCATGGGATGCTTCTTGAACAGCAGTGAGTCATGCTGTTAATTATTTCATGGAGCCTATGTCTAGCTATGTCACTATTTAAGATCAGGGCAGCAATACATTAAACATAAAGTATGCAAGTTTACAAAGTAATATAAATTGCAACATACACATAGAATTAAGATCCAACATTACAAAGCCTTTCGGTTGCAACTTAAGCTTCTGTACTATTAGTCTGTTCAAAGATTATTAAATATGAATTTGTCAGTTTTCAAATGTCTACATATATGTTTAGAGCAGTAGTTTATAATGTTCATTTGGATATTTTCCTTTTATCATATTATAATTTAAAATTAGTAGCATGCAGCTGTTAATGCAGGACAATGGCAGCTGTTGGTGATGTATCTCTTTAAAACACTTGTTTTTGTATCTTCAGCTAAAGATTAAATAATTATATCTACATTTTTTAAAGAAAAAGAATATACTTACTATAAGAACAGCTGCAATAGGTATTGCTGCATTCATGAAAACTATAAAGAAAAATACATTTTTCTCATTATACTCCATACATGTTATTTCCCCATCAGTATTTTGTATGTCTTTCTAGACTACTTTTTTGAATCAGGTACTGTGCCTGTTTTGATATTACCCTAGTCAGTACTTGAAACCAATGAATAAGAAGCAATTTCCTGGAAGCAATTACATTCTCCCCTTCTCCGCTCTCTGGATCTATTGGATCTCCCACTGTTTCTAAACACTAATTTAATAAACACAGATGGTTGGGGATTGGAATGGGTTTATTTTTTGCCTTGGGTCCACTCCTAAATTGAGCATTAATTAAATTATCCACTTTAATGTGACTAATTATCCCTTAATAAACATTGCCAAAATCCCTACTAATTTGAACAAACCATTAAGCATGACATGTTGCTCAATTTATCTCAATAGTTGGAAGTTACTTAGGTGCAGTCCTTGCATTTGATTCACTATTTGTTTCACCCTGGTGTCTTGTTGCAGCAGATAAATATAACAGGAAATATTTCAAAATCTAGTAAAATTAGCAACAGATAAGATTCTTCTGCTTATGTGAATGTATGTGCTTGCATTGTGATAAGTGATAGAAACTAAATGAATGCTGACATTGTTGGTAAGTCATGTCTTATTTAAAGTATAGACGTGCAAAATATGACTAAAAAGTAATGAGTCCTGACATATAGCTTTCTGTAGACTGTTTCCGTGACATATTTCTCTATACTGAAAAATTAACTGCAGTATAATTGAGTAAAAATCCTAGTTCCAGAATGTAGACGACTATTCAGTCGTCAGATTCCTACAACAATTTCCTCATAAATATTTTCTGAGACAGCCCAGCAAGAATAGCTCTATGCTTGTCTTCCTTTATCCTTCCTGTGGGAGATTTGAAATGCTGAGATTTTCATTGGCTTAGAAAGTGAGTGAAACATTGCCACTTATGGCTTGTCCTTAGCTACAAGATGTTAGTGACGTGTATCCACCCATCCATGGACTTTTCAGAGCAAGACTTTCCTGCTTTGCCTCCTGCAGCAACCCATTCAGCCCATCATACATTTTACTCCAAGGGTCTGTGTGGCTGTGTGGCAAAAAAAACATTTGCAAAATTACAGTGGATTGAATCTGATCACTCCCTTTCTCTAAAAGACTCCTTCCTTTGGAGCAAGATTCCTTACTTAGCAGGAAAGGATGGCAGGATCCAATCAATTTATTTGACACACATAATACTTAATTTAAGGGTCAAACTAGATGAGATGTTGGGAGATCCATGACCTGGTGTCAAGAACTTTGGTTGCGATCTAAGAGGGTCAAGCTACAGGTAAATTAATATTAAAAATATACAAACATTTATTAGCAGGGCTATCTTTGGGCAGGAATGGAGTTCTGGCTGGCTCCCACATTGGCCACACCCAACAGGAACTAATTAGCATAATAGGCCACACCCAACAGCAGAAACTCATTAGGATTGGCTACATTAGGGGTGTGTGGCCTAACATGCAAAGAAGTTCCTGCTATAAAAAAAGCCAATAAACAAAGTAAATAGAATAAGCAGCAAAAGGTGGGTGTGGCTGGATGACCACACTTCTGGTAACATGGGGTGTGGCCTAATAGGCTAATGAGATGTGCTGTCAGGGTATGGCCTAATATGCTGATGAGTTTCTGCTGTTGGGTGTGGCCTATTATGCTAATGGATTCCTGCTGTTCCTGCTGGGCTTTTTCTACAAAAAAAGCCCTGTTTAATTATTAGAGTTTACACTTAAATAGAACATAAAAAGGTTAAAATAGTCTAAATATCAGACTCAAAGAACATATTTAATTCAGAACTGATTGTTATACATATCCAATAGATGAGTAAAACATTTGACCGAAGGACCATACGCGTTTTGTCCCCTTCGGGCCTTCCTCAGTGGTCAGTATTCCACCACCATAATAGTAACTTGGTGGGTTTCCTACTGTGAGCCAGAGAATCTGCAGGGAGGATTCCCTCGGTAATCCCGGGAAGGTCAAGTGTTTGTCCTGTGGCTCCTGACTGGAGGGACATAGAAAGACTGGTGGTCGCCTACCTTGGTTGAGGGTGCACAGGTGCCTCCAACAACTTTTGTAGTTTGCAGCTAGCCAGCCTCTTGGGGAAAAGGTCTTCAGCCTGGGTTGGGCAGGGGCAGGGCTCTTTTTGTAGAAAAAGCCCAGCAGGAACACCCAACAGAAGGAATTCATTTGCATATTGGGCCACACCCCTGACAGCACAGCTCATTAGAAGTGTGGTCATCCAGCCACACCCACCTTTTGCTTCTTTTTCTGTTTACCTTGTTTGTTGTCAAAACCCAAAGGATTTTTTTGTGGCAGGAACTCCTTTGCATGTTAGGCCACACACCCCTAATGTAGCCAATCCTAATGAGTTCCTGCTGTTGGGTGTGGCCTATTATGCTAATGAGTTCCTGCTGGGCATGGCCAACTTGGGAGCCAGCCGGAACTCCGTTCCTGTGCGTTCCTGCCCAAATATAGCCCTGGCCGCAGGGGAGACCTTTTTGACACCTGAATATGCCATTTTTTAAATAAAAAAGCATGTGGGGTGGCAAAATTCAAATCAGGGATCGGTAGCTCTATGAGAGGGGGAGTTTACTCCCCTCCATTCTGTTTTCCTGTCCCAAATCATTCTGAAGCTGGCATTTGCTTCTGTGGAGGAAGAAATCACGCAAGCACCTTATAGGAATCTTCATGGCTTTCCCTCTGAGCAGCCTTGGGAGTGACACTTAGAATAGGAAATTATCACGGCTTTTTTCTTTCTTAATTATCAGGGCTTTTGAGAGGTTCCAGAACTCTCAAGAGGGAAATGAAGTTTTCAATCTGTATACTGAAAACTCATGAACTTCTAAACATTTTAAAAAGGATTTTGTTGAAGAGGTTCCGGAACTCCATTCTGCCGCGTTCCCCCAGACAAAAAAAAAAGCCCTGTACACGTGAGGGCGTGTGGAAAAGTTGGTGCTTCCTAAGCCCCTTTCATTAATTTATTGAAAACATTAATATCCTGGTTTTCCACAATGTCCAAAGCAACTTACAAAATATAAAAATACTCAGAAACATAGATGAAGCACATAGAATAACACCCAATATAAAGCCCATGTAGTACTACTGAATAATAAAATAAGGTTTGGCAAGTTAAAACTGCAACACGTGGTTCTGATCCAATGCACGAGGCGCTTGCAGCTACTCTGAATTAAAAGACATGAACAATAACTCCTCATTTCCTTTTTGTTTCTACAAAGATTCTTATGATACTATTTTAGTCTTCCAGATCCCTGAGAGCAGCTGCACGCTTTCTGTGGCAATCGTGTTCCTGCAAGTACACTACTGTTTTATTTTAACTTCAAAGGAGTGTGTGTTTATGGGTACTGTAATCCTGCTGGAGCCACATCTCATCCTTTATGGTGGTGTACACTTAGGGGGGGGGAAGCTTCTTTGCCTTTTACAAACGTTGTACATTTTCTGGATGCAAATGGAAATTTTGCGACTGAAGCTCTAAATATGTGTTACCTGTAGCCACTAAGAACAGGCAAGCTCATTTATAGTAGTACTGACAGCCAAACTGATAAAGAAAACCAACAGTGGCTCGGAGGGGTGTAACTCTGCACAGGCTGACATTGAAAAGTACTTACTTGATATGGAGGTATACAGAGCAAATGCCTTGAGGCTGGTCATCTCCTTTTGCCGGGTTTCCTCCACTCTGCTGTGAAAGATGTTTTCCCAGGCATAGAGCTTAAGGAGTTTTATCCCACGAAGCATTTCATTTGTTTTCTTCAGCCTTTCGTTGGAATATTCCTACACAATTGATCCAAGAAATTAAAGGGATTGTTGCATATGTTTTTCCAATGATATACACAAATTAAAACTGACTACAGGTATTCCAGCTGCCACAGATAATATAAAATATAAGTCTTTTTGGAAGCAAGTGATAGAGGAAATTGCTGCAATCACTTCTCAGAAACTCCCTCTAGATCCAACAGTAATCCTATTACAACTAGAAGACGGAGAAACCCAGAACATGAACCTGTCAACTCTTACTTCAATTCTATTGGCCACCGCAAGATTGACCGTGGCAGCTGCTTGGAAAGCCCCAAACCCACCGGACATCGAAACATGGAGACAGAAATGTTGGGACCATTTTGTAATGGACAGGATCGCTGAAACATACACTTAGGTCACACAAACCTACAATCATTCACACTACCTTTGTCAAAACATGGTTTACATTTATTCAATACATGGTAGAACATGACATAATCCCTCACAATCCCCAATACATAGAATAGCTGTGCTTCTAAACCCTCTTTGTTATTGCTTTTGGTCTTAAATCACATCTATTTGCAATACTTTACTTAGTGAACTCTGAAATGAAATTAGGTACTGAGTTTGTTAGCTGCGTGGAGCTGCGGTGGCTCAAGTTAAGACGCTGAACTGCAGGCTGTGGAAGGTCAGTAGTTCAGCGGTTCAAGACCCGGGTGCCGCATGACGGAGTGAGCTCCCGTCTCTAGTTCCAGCTCCTGCCCAACCTAGCAGTTCGAAAGCAAGAAATTGCAAGTAGATAAATAGGTACCACTTCGGTGGGAAGGTAACAGCGTTCTGTGTGCCTCGGTGTTTAGTCATGCCGGCCACATGACCTCAGAAACGTCTTCAGACAGCGCTGGCTCTTCGGCTTTGAAACGGAGATGAGCACCGCAACCCTAGAGTCGGATTCGACTGGCTTTCGAGCAAGGGAACCTTTACCTTTACCTTTACCTTGTTAACTGCACTTCTGATTATACGTTTCAAACCATGTTTAATGTTGACAACTTTACTATTATATTTGATGTTTGATCTGTTTAAAATTTTCAATAAAAATTATATTGAAAATATATGTATGTATATATATAAATAAAATATAAGTATTACTCTTTCTCTCTCTTTCTCCCGTACCCCATCGTACTTTCTCTCCCACCAGCTCCCCCCCCCGCGCGCGCGCAACAGCAGCTCTCCAGGAATCACAATGGATATCCAGCTCTCTTTATTGACATTTCACAATATTCTATATTCTAACAGTGAAGGTGGTCACATCTTTGGATACTTAAATTCAGTGACTGGAACGGTGAATGGGCAAAACAGATCTTTCTACAAACCTGAAAAGTTTAGGTTAGGAAATTCCTAGAGATTGGGGAGGGGGAGCCTGGGGATTGAGGAAGGGAGGAACTTTAGAGGGGTATAATGCCATAGTAGGGTTGCCATGTCCTATCTTCCCCCCTAACGGGGGACTTTGGGGGGAATTCCTGGAGGGGGTGGGGCATCCCCGACATGATGATGTCACATTGGGGACGTCCCCCCCGCCTCCCTGCAGTTAAAGGGGTCCCTTTAACTGCAGGGAGCCGGCGTTTCCACGTGCCCGATTGGCTGGCCCTCAGCCACCCCTCTCCCTCCTCTCTCTCAAGAGAGAAGGGAGAGGGGTGGCGGCGGGTGTTGGGGCCTGGGGGCAGGTAGAAGCCCCCCAAAAGCGGGGGACCCTTGCCAAACTGGGGGATTTGGCAACCCTATGCCATAGACTCTGCCCTCCAAAGCAGTCATTCCCTCCATGGGAACAAGGATGGCCAGTCCCCACTTGGGCAGATAACCCACAATTACGACTGATCTCCAGATGACAGAGATCAGTCCCCCTGGAGAAAATGGCTGCTTCGGAGGGTAGATTCTCTGGCATTATACCCTGCTGAGGTCACTCCTGTGCCCAAACCTCGCCCTCCCAAGGCTCTATCCCCAAATCTCTAGGAATTTCCCAACCTGGAGCTGGTAACACTAAGGGGAACGGATCTCTGTAGCTGGGGTATCTGTTGTCATTCCAGGAAATCCCCAGGCCCCACATGGAGGTTGGCAACCCTATAAGGAGAATAGGAGGCGAACTGATCTCTGTAGCTGGGGTATCTGTTGTCATTCCAGGAAATCCCCAGGCCCCACATGGAGGTTGGCAACCCTATAAGGAGAATAGGAAGTAGGAAAAGGGGAGAGGCTATGGGAGTTTTCAGGGAAGCGAGAGAGGAAATAGTGGGAGAGGGGGAGATGAGCTGCCTCCTGCAAGTCCTTGTGGGTCCCCATGCGTAATCTCTATTTAAGTGGATCTAATGTCTCCTCCCAATTAACATATTACAAGAGAGTTAACACATCTTGGGCTCAGTGAATACTAAAATAAAATGTAAAATTGATCATACATATTGCTAGTTATTTGCAGGGGTCATTTCGTAGAAAAAGAGCTAGGGGGACTCATTAGCACAACTCATTAGCATATGCCACACCACAGCTGGCGGCGACCTCCAGCGGGCACCAGCAGGGAGCTCCAGGCCCCGCCCTCCCGCACCTCACCCGGGGGGATGGCGTCCCCCCGCGTCCCCCCCCAATGACCCCTGATTATTTGAGTTTGTAATGGGGACTAATGGGGAGACAAAGCCTGAACACACACACACACACACACACACACATTTACCACAACTGTACTGATCACAGTTTATGTAGCTTTAGATTTTAGCTTAAAGCAGGCTGGAAGTGATGACAATGACAACTTAACTGCTGACTGGGAAGCCAAGATAGCCTGCCTGCCTGGCTGGATTACTTCAGAAGAAAGCACTGCTTAAAACAGCAGACAAAGTGGTCTACCTGCGTAGCTACCAACGCTCCCTCTAAGCTGTGGAGTCTTGTGAGCAAAAATTCTACTTTGTGAGCTACTGGCATTACATTTGTGAGTGAGCGATTTGGCTACTGCATAAATTAGTTTGCTCCGGAGCCCTCCTTCCTGAGCTGAGACAAAACTGCCTGGCTGGATTACTTCAGAAGAAAGCATTGCTTAAAACAGCAGACAAAGTTGTCTACCTGCGTACCAATCCTGGATGTGAACAGTTCAGAAAAGTACAGAACAGGCTTGTGGTGGACTGGTCTACGTTCAACCTCCTGAAGCTTCGTGAGAACGTTAGTGAGGCCAAATCTTTTTTACACCTTTAGGTACAGCTCTTGCTAAATACCCAAGCAGAGGAAGGTAATTCTACCTTCTCCAACTTAATCACCAAACCAGCTGATGCTGCAGTGATCCTGTTATCACCAAACCAGGCTAGATGTCATTGAGTCAAATAACTGCCTGTTCCCAAAAAGTGCATGACATAATCTTTGGTGATGACATAAAAATCTTTGGTGCTTGTAAGAAATACCCAGGTGTTGAGTTACTGCTGGGTCAATGAGCCATAAATTCAGTCCACAGAAACGGAATAAAATGGAAAGTTGCACTTTCATGTCAGCCTTTATATCGTCAACATTCTGAGATTAGGGGAGGATTTAGGTTAAGATGCCCTATCCTGCTGAGCAGATGCACCCCTTTTCCCCATGACAAGACCTTCAAGGTTGACTTCTCAGCCTCCACCTTATCCAATATTTATCAGGCCCAAGCGCGATCCACAATCCATGTCCTTTACCTGGACTATTTTCATTGATTTATATGCTGACAGGAACCCATCAACTGTTTTGATCCATGAAGAAAGGTGTGAGATGACTATTTTAATTAATAAATAAATACATCTTATCAATAAAACATTTTCTTGCCACTCTGGTCATAGGGCAAAGGTCCCCAACCTTTTTACGCCTGTGGGCACATTTGGAACTCTGACCCAGGATGGTGGGTGCAGCAACAAAATGGCTATTGCAAAATGGCTGCTGCAGGAGGTGGAGCCAGCCACAAAATTATTGCCACAGCTTAACTTTAGTAATGCAGTGCCGATCCTTGCACTGTGATGGCAGTTGCCACCAAACCAACGTTTCTTAAAAGCTGCACAGCCAATCAAATCTCCAATCGTCTATCAGAAACCTTGCTGGGCAAAGGCCCTACTTGGCCCCACCCACTTCCTTAAAACACTTGGTGGGTACCAGAAAAGGTGTTGACAGGTGCCACAGGCACCATGTTGGGAATCCCTGTTACAGAGAAGAAGGAGGAGGAGAAGAGATTGGATTTATACCCCGCCCTTCACTACCCAAAGGTGGCTCAGAGCGGCTTACAAACTCCTTTCCCTTCCCCTCCCCACAACAGACACCCTGACCAGAGAGATAAAATAAGAAGAGATTGGATTTATAACCTGCCCTTCACTACCCAAGGGAGTCTCAGAGCGGCTTACAAACTCCTTCCCCTTCCCCTCCCCACAACAGACACCCTGTGAGGTAAAAGAAGAAGAAGAGATTGGATTTACATCCCGCCCTTCACTACCCAAAGGTGGCTCAGAGTGGCTTACAAACTCCTTCCCCTTCCCCTCCCCACAACAGATACCCTGTGAGGTAGGTGGGGCTGAGAGAGATCTGACAGAAACTGCTCTTTTTCAAGAACATTAGTGCCAGAACTATGGCTTGCCCAAGGTCATCCAGCAAGTGCAAGTGGAGGAGTGGGGAATCAAACCCGGTGTAACAGGCCGGATTCACCCACCGGCCAGAGTAACCCCGGGGTTACTCTGGCCTAGCCTAGAATAACCCCGGAGGAGTTACTCTGGCCTAGTCCGGAGTAACCCCGGGGTTACTCTGGCCAGGTGTAACAGGCCGGATTCACCCCCCGGCCAGAGTAACCCCTGATAACTCTCCCAGCTGTCTGGTCTTTCCAGGCATGCCTTAGGCCGGACAGAGCCTTTTCCTCCAAGAGCTGGGCAGGCTTGATCTGGCCCCTGAGGCCTGCTGGTGCTGGGGATAAGAAGTAATTT